ATGCGAAAGCTGGACAGTGAATAAGGAAGACCGTAGAAGAATTGATGCTTTTGAGTTATGGTGTTGGAGGAGAATATTGAAAGTGCCATGGGCTGCCTAAAGAAACAATGGATCCGTTCTGGAAGAAGTGCAGCCAGAGTGCTCCTTGGAGGTCAGGATGGCCAAACTGTGTCTCTCATACTTCGGACGTACTGTCAGGAGGGACCAGTGACTAGAGAAGGATATCATGTTTGGTAAGGTGGAGGGTCAGAGAAAAAGAGGAACACCCCCAGCGAGATGGATTGGCAAATTGGCAGCATCAATGGGCTCAAGCGTGGCAACGATAGTGAGGTTGGCCCAGTACCGGGCAGTGTTTCGTTCTTCTGTGCATAAGGTCACTGTGAGTCGGTACCAACTTGATGACACCTAACAACAACAGCAGGGGTACTATGTTATAACCACCAATTAGTGGATGAGAGATTTCAGACTGTGGTGATGATGACAATGGTGTGACTCAAGGGTCATGGACAGATGGCCACACAAGGCCTGTGTGAGATGGGTCATGTGTTTACCATTGGCCAAGACTTTCATAAGAGCCTGGCCTTTGCCCTGGTGGGCAGAAGTCATCTGGTGAGATCAGGCAGAACTGGCCAGCTTACGGACCATCTCATGTCTTCACTGGTTTCTTCCTCACAACTGATTCTGGTATCTCCCAGCCCAGCTAGCCCTGCATTGTTGTCCTTGGAAGTGTTGATATCCACCCATGGCTTCATGGAATGCATTCTGGCTCAGACCCATAAAGCACCCCTCAATCCACAGTTATGCAGGTGAACCCCTCGGGGTAGGTCGGTACCTCAATTGTGATCACTTCCACCTGGACGTTGGTCGGGAGGGGCAGGCTGGGCTGGAAGCGCTTGGCCAGGGCCACAAGGAGATGCAAGGTGGCCAGCAGGTCCTTGCTGAAGATAGCTGAGAGGAGAGAGGGGAGCAAAAATCAAAGACAAGAGATGCCCAAACTTGTCACCGAGGGGAGGCTTTGTGGACCAAGGAGATTGGTGTCCACCCTTCTAGAAAGCAAAGATCCAAGATCTTCATATCCAGACCCTTTACACAAGCAATTATACCTGCCAAGAAAGACCAAGGATATCATCTACCAGGTGAACAAGGCTTCCGACACAAAAACATTCACCGCAGCCTTCTTCATTATTGAAAACAGCTATGAAGGACTTCAAGAAATTCATGGAAAAAATGGAACAAAAAGATAAAGTTTTTTCCAGGGATTTTTTGAAGGTCCTTCCTAAGTATTGGTTGACCGGTGCTATTTGGGATGGTCATTTTACACCCCAGATCCTGAATGGGAGACTTTGTATGTGACATGCCAAACACTGGGTTGGAAAAGTGACTCCTCACCGTCACCCAACCTTGGGAAGCCCACTTTACTCCTTTCAGCCTTAGTTTTCTCAGCTGGAAAACTAAGATAAAGAGATGGGAATGGAAGGAAGTTTATACCAAACCATGGTATAAACTTAGCACTGAAGGATACACACTGGACTGCTAACTGCAAAGTCAGTGGTTCAAACCCACCAAACACTCCTTGGAAACTTTATAGGGTCCCTATGAGTTGGAACCAACCCTTTTAAAACAACAACAACAAACGCTTTTAGCACCTTGGGAGTTCTCAATGCCTCGTTCCAATTCTGACTTTCCCATCTAATTAATTATTTAAAATATAGCTGTTGTTGTTGTTGTTAAGTGCCATCGAGTTGCCGGTTTATGAAGAATGAGCAAAATATCCAACCTTTGCCACTCTACCCAATTCCATTGATGATACTGTTGTTGTCAAACTGGTTCCACTCATAGCAACCCTGCATAGGGTTTCCTATGAGCGCCTGGTGAGTTCGAACTGACCTTATGATCAAGTGCTTAGACTTTTAGCCTGGTCAAAGAAAAATGCAGAAGACTGAGTGGCCATCCAGCCATCTAATGCAATAGTTAAGACTTGGCAAACACACACCCAAGTGTTCCTCATCCCTCTCTGTCTGCTATAGTAAATTACTGCAACCCAAACTTACTCCCCTTTTCTTTAAAAGTAATCACTCCTTCTCTTGAATTAGTAGCCAATCCCTACTCTGAGGACTATCGAATGAAGGACTATCGCAGGAACGGAAGAAAAACCACCACATGCATCGTTTATAATGGCCAATGATAACCACCGCCTGGAGAGATTAATGGTGCGGGCCAGAGACCGCTTGATGAGGATGGTCAACAGGAACATGACTAGACAGACAACAGAGTCCCTGAAATTCCTCGGACTGCTGCCTCAGACCTGAATTCTCTCCCCTTTCCTTTGGGGAGAAAGAGCTGGGAGATTTCTGCTCCCCGGTCCTTCTGAGTCTAAATAAGTGCTCTGCTCTTTGCTCGGAGTAATGACTCTGAATACTGGCTCCTTCAGCAGCAGGGAATAAAAAACTCTTTCTTTCTGTTTTCTGGTTACAGTATTCCTCTCAAAAGATTGGTGGGCGTGTCCTAGGACCTGGAACTCAATAAATATGGATCACCCTGGTGGTCTGGTGTGTACTGTAGGTTAAGACCTGGACTTCTGACTGCAAGTTTGGTGGTTCAAAAACTGCTCCTCAGAAACCATATCCAGGGTCTCTGTGAGTCGGAACCGACCGGACAGCGCTTAACAACAACCATGGTGGAGCAGTGGGTTATGTGTTGGGCTGCTAACCACAAGGTCAGCAGTTTGAACCCAGGAAGATGAAGTACATCTCCTGTACAGATCCAGAGCCTGGGGAACCCTAGAGAGCAGTTTTACTGTGTCCTGTAGGGACGCTGTGAGTTGGGACCCATTCAAAGGCAATTGATTGTTTGAGGTTATTAACAGAGCCCCTAGATATCGCAAACTGTTAATACACTTGGATGCCAACAAAAAGCTACAGGTTCAAGTCCACCCAAAAGTCTGGAGATCTGAAAAATTAGCCACTGAAAACTCTATGGAGGACAGTTGTCCTCAGACACACAGGGGGTCACTATGAGTCAGATTGAACTTCGCAGTAAAGTATTTTACCATTACTGCCATGTTTACTGGAATTGGCTTCCCTGCTTTCTTAACTGCAGTCTCAGCTTACTCATCCATAAAATGGGGAGAAAAGCAAACCATCCAGCCCAACAGTGGGCTGAATCCCACAGCCGGGTGATCCGCTCAGCCTTATGTGGAGTACCGAAATGTGTAGGACTGTTTGCTCCTGAACAGATGTGTGTGTGTGTTGCTCCTTCCATCCCAAGACAGATGAGGGTGAGCTTCCTGGGTAAGCAGGAGCCCGGTCCACCCTGGCTGGGGCCCCACGTACTCTCCACACTCCATGGAACCTGCTGCTCCTCCACCTGCAGACTCTGGTTCACAGCCCCCAGGACCACTGTGAGCTTGCGCCGTTGGCTGGTGGCTGTCAAGGCAATTTCCTCCACTTCCAACTTGAGGGACGCCAGCTTCTCTGAGGGTGAGAGTAGGTGGAGAGAGGACTGTGAGGAACCCACGGGGACCCACGGCCAGCCCACTTCCTCTAGAGGCTGGCCGGGCACATGCATTCCTACACAGCTGCAGTCTGACCCGACGTGCCACCAGCTCCATCCACACAGCGTGTGCTGGGAAGAGCGCTGGTGTCAGCTCAAGGACACCCTGGGTCACAGGCTCTTGGGAAGGACCCTAGGGGTGGGAAAGGTGGCCCTTTCCTCCCGGGACTCTTGTGGGGATTAGAGGAGGGGAGTCATGGAATAATATCCAAGTTCATGTCAGTAACCAACCCTCGCCTTGAGAAGGGACCGAGTGATGACTGTAAGCTATATAGACCAGGGACAAGGATTTGGGGGGAGGGGAGGAGGTGGGATCGGGAGGAGGGGACAGCCTATAAGAATGCTTCATGGAACCACCATGGTTTGTCCTGGAGGTGGGAGAGCACATGGTTTGGTCAATAAAAAGCAAGAACTGTGACCCCAGAGCTAGGCAGAGGTGGGAGGAGGGGGCAGGGGGAAAAGCCCAGCAGTATGGCCAGTGGGCCCGGGTGGGGGTTGTGGGGTGAGACCCTGGCCACCCTGGGCAGCCACATACGGAAGAGATGATGCAGGATGAGCCCATCGAACATGTCCTCCTCCAGGCTGCGGACCACAATGTGCTCGGGCAGAAGCGTGGCGTTTATCCACTCCATCAACACCTGTAGGCCCAGGGGACACTTCACTGACGGCTCACGGCTCCTCACCTGGCTCAGCTCCGCCCTTCTCCCACCAGCCAACGCCTGGCCATCCTGCACACCAGCTGCCATGGCTCCTCTCCCAGGAAGCCCTCCCTGATCCCACTCACCATCCAGAGTCCTGATGGGAGCATGTATGTGGTGGCACACAGTTGGTGCTCAATAAGTGTTTGCTGTTGCAGTCTTTCACCAGGTCTTATCCCACCATCTCAGGAACTACCCACGGGGCCAGATGCCCATCTGCCCACAAGAAGACAACTTCCAGAGACATTGGGGTCATTGAAGGCAGCCATACCTTTTGCAGTTCTTCAAACTTGGGGTCCTTCCGGGAGCCGGGTGGCAAGTATTTCTTCTTTCCTCCTGGAATCAGAGGGGTCAGGGGTGTTGTGGAATCCCTGCAGGACGCCAGGAGTCCAGTACCAGGGACTACAGGGAACTGGGTGGTGGAAATGGAACTGTGGAGCCATAATCCCTGGGCTCAGAATCCCAGTTTCACCACTTATTAACAGAGCCACCATAACTGTATTATATTACCCTCTGTGCCTCTGTTTCCTCGTCTGTAAAAAGGAGGCAGTAAACGCTCTACCACCCATCTGTTAGCATGTCATACTGTGGTGGTGACTTGTGTGTTGCTGTGATGCTGGAAACTATGCCAACGGTATTTCAAATACCAGCGGGGTCACCCATAGCGGGCAGATATCAGTAGAACTTCTGGACTAAGACTAGGAAGAAAGGCCTGGTGATCTCCATCAAAAATTTAGCTGTGGATCATAACAGATGGCTGTTTGATATGGTGCTGGAAGATGAACCTCCTAGCTTGGAAGATACTGCGAACACACGGGACCTTAACAACGGACTCAGCACATCAATCACCATGAAGTTGGTGCTAGAGCAGGTAGTGGTTCATTCAGCTGTATGTGGGTCACTGTGAGTCAGAGCTGACTCTAGGACAACTGACACCCAAGCTCAGAGGACTAGATGAGATGTTGCAGACAGTATAGTACATAGCGCAGGCCCAGAGCAGCCCCACCACTATTATTATCAGCAGCTCATTCCTGTGGAGAAGTGAGGCTAGGAGGGGCAGGGGAGACCGCTACAGAAGGCGCCAGGGCGGAAGGTGGCTCAGGTATAAAAGAGAAGACATAGACAGAGGGGAACAGAATCAGGATCACCAACCCCACCCTCGGCCCCAGCCTGATGCCCCCAAGCACCGCACCCTGGGGGAGGTCCTCCTCAATGTGCAGTCCCAAGTCCTTCGGGAGCTGCAGCAGGTTGTAGAGAGACTCAGGCTCCATCTTCTCCTGGAAGAAGCAGAGACTGATGAGTCATGTTTGGAGAAGCCCTGGACCCCCATCCCCACTGTGTGTGCCTGACTGGTCCCCGCCCCAGAAAAATGGGACAGGAGTAGGTTCCGGTCCCAGAGGTCCAGGCTGCCAGGCCAGGAGTTCGGGATAAGGTGAGGTGAGACGGCCAATGGAGAAAGGCAGAGAAAGGAGTGGGGCTGAGGGGGCAACAGAGCAGGGAACCGGGGCCTCCCCCTCTGAGGGTAGAGTGGCCTGGAGTCTGTTTGTGTTTGCAAACACCAGGTCGAGACCCGGGACTGAGAGGGGAAGAAGGATCATCAGCCCAGACTGGGGAGGAAGTGGCCATGGAACGGAAGGAGGCCGGCTGGCGTAGGGCTGCCCCTCTCCCAGCAGATGGTAGAGATCAAGCTCTTCCCTTCCTGGTCACCCTGGAGGATGGGGGTGCCGAGGGGCATGATCCAAGAAGCCACAAACCCTCTGAGCTGCCCTCCACCCCACGAGGGTCGGAACACATGGGCAGCTGTCACTGCCCAACCCCCAATTCTAAATGAGGGTCCCAATCCTATCTCTGAATGGGGCACATCACCCCCCACCTCTCAGGGTGGGTTGGGGTTCATATCCAAAATGGTACCTCCCTCAGCTGGGTTCCAGACAGCACTGCCTCCTTCTGGCTGTGTGGTTTTAGACAAACCCCCTCCCCTCTCTAGTCCTGCTGGTTCCTGCTGCACGCTTGGGCCCACCCCTGCTTCCAGAATCTTCTGCTCTGCTCACACTTGGGTGTGAGGGGCACAGACAGAGCGTGAATGACTCTTCTTCCTCATCATCATGGTTACAGCACTAAACCTCCTGCCCAGGAGAGGGGGCAGCTCAGGGACCAGCCCACCTTCCATTCTGATACCACTTCCTCCCAGGGAACAGCTTCATGGGCGGTTGATGACTTCTGCCCTCCTCCTTCCTCTCTCAGCCCTTGGGTCTTCCCTGACAGGCATTTGGAGTTGGGGGGTGAGGGACAGGGGATGGTCAGACAGCTGGAGTCAATGGCGAAGCCCCTCTTGGCAGCTCAGAAGTAGGGGTCCTCTCAGCTGTGTGAGTCGGTGTTCACGGGACCTGGAGCCACCCTCCTCAGATTAGCAGCCAGTCTGAAGGACATCTTGTGGCTCCCTCACACCCTAAAGTGGAGGGCCGGGAGAACATAGCCTCTGGGACTAACTCTGTCCCCTCAACCTAAGCTTCCTGTTGGACACCAGGACCCCTGTTTGAGGTACGTGGCCAGAGAAATGGCCTGGATTCCAGGCTAGCATCTCCTCATTCTGCTGTGTGGCTTTGGGCAAGCCCCCTCCCTCTCTGGTCTGGAAGGAAGGACCAGACTGGAAGGAAGGTGAAACAGACTGAGACATGCCTCCAGCCATTTAGTGGTCAGGCAAGGCCCTCTCTGCCCTGGGCCTGCATTTCTACATGGGCAGACTAGGGGTGACTACCCCACCCCGCAGGTGCATGAAGCCTGAGGACATGTGGGGGGGATAAAACACTTGTTCCCTCCCTGCTGTAGGAGAAGGACAGACCTTCCCTCCTGCTGAGTCCTACTCCTCACCCCTCAAACGTGGGGGTTGGGGTGCAGCCCCTCAACACTGCACATTGAGTGGGAGCACTAATGCTCAGTTTCCATGGGAGGCCACCTCTGCACTTTGTGGTGTCCACTCCGCCTCGACCCAAAACGTCACAACAGAAAGTTCCAGCAGCCGAGGGTTCCCAGGGGCAGCTACGATTCCAGGAGGACTCACCTGGCTGCGTCCTCCTCACAAGGAAACCAAGACTGCGGCAGCTCTCAGGGTCCCAGGGTCTGGGTTTCCAAATAAAATCTGGTTCCAGGTCCCCCAGATCAGTGGGGGGAGGGGGCGGGCCGATGCTCACTTCCTGTGGGGCCCTCAGCTTCTGCAAGGCACTTCCTCCTCTGGGTGCTGCAAGGCCCTGGGAGAGAGAGCACGCTTAGAAAGTGAGTCTCCCCTACAAACCTTCTAAGGCCTAGCCACCCCTCCGGCCCTCTCTGATGTGCAGACAGTGAAGAATTCATGTTTCTTATTTCTCCCCTCGCTTCTTGCTTCCTCAAACCAAGCCAGGTCTTCCCTAGTGCTCCCATCTCCAGAATGGTAACCATTACCCACCTAGCTGCCTCTGCCAGAGCTTTGTGAGCTTCCTCCACCCTCAGCTCCCTGCATCCAACCATCAGCATATTGGGGCCCTGCTCCCAGTTCTTATCCCTCCACCTCCATCTGCTGAGGGACCAGCAAGAGCCTCCTGACCCTCCCTCCTGACTCTCCCTCCTGATCCTCCCTTCTGCACAGCTCTGCTTACCCCCATCTTCCGCCCCCATGGGGTTCTCCACAACCCAGCTCTCAGCCATGCCCCCTACTCACTCAAACACCACCTATGTAGATGTATCCGTTAGTTATTGCTGCATAACAAAATACCCCGATCCGGTGTGGTGCTGTGGGTTAATGCACCAGACTGCAAAGTCGTTTGAACTGCAAGGTCGGCAGTTCAAGCTCATCAGCTATTCCTTGGAAACCCTATACAGGGTTGCTATGGGTCGGAACTGACTCTATGGCACTTAACAACAACAACAACAACTAGCTCAAAGCAACAACCATTTTATTTAGTGTGTGGTTCTGTGGGTTCAGCTGGGCAGTTGTGGTCTGGGGCAACATGGGGACTTCTGCAAGGCTCCCTTGTGTTTCTGTGGTCAGCTGCTGGTTCAGTTGGCAGGCTGCCTGCCAATCAGGGCTGGCTGACTGTTGACCGTGTGGGCTTTCATTCCACAGCGGGCCAGCTCAGGATCCTTTTAGACTTGTAGACTCAGCGCCACAGGGGAGGGAATCCCAGGGCACAAAGCTCCACTTATATCCCCTGGCCAAAGCCAGTGTGGAAAGGAATTACCAAAGGCCATGGGGATGGATGTAGCCATGATACAAACAGTAGGTGACAGTACATTTGGTGACCTTGATGGGAAGCGGGGTCAAAGCCATAAATAGAACAACCGGTCACAGGGATTCTGAGCCATTCATTGTTGATCCTGAATAGTTGAACATCCCGCTAAGGGTTTACTTAATCAAAACCTAAAGTCCCTGAGTCACTACAGCAGAACATCCACAGTCCAGGCCTGAGTCAGCTCACAGACTCCCTCAACTTTCACAACTACTCATATTCACTTCTTGGCTGTGTTACAGATACAGATAAGCACATTCATACCCGCACACATGTTGTTATTCGGTACCATCACGTCAGTTCCGACCCGTAGTGACCCTATGCACAATAGAAGGAAACACTGCCTGGTCCTGCGCCAACCTCACAATTGTTGTGAAGCTGAGCTCATTGCTACTGCCACTGTGCCAGTCTATCTCACTGAGGGTCTTCCACTTTATAGCTGACCCTCCACTTTACCAAGTATGATGGCCTTCTCCAGGGACTGGTCCTCCTGATAATATGTCCAAAGTATGCGAGAAGAAGTCTGGCCATGTGTGGAGTATCTATATCTATATATCTATACATATATATACACATATACAGAGAGAGAGAAAGGAAAGGCAGAGACAGACAGACAGGGACACACACACACACAGAGAGAATACCCTGTGTGACACTATATGGTAAGTACTGGACGCACAAGTTCACCAGTTCAAACCCACCAGCTGCTCCTTGGAAATCCTATACAGTGTCACTGAGTTGCAACCTACTCTACTACACTTCACAACAACATAGATAAATAAACAGACAGACAGACAGATAGACTGATTGACTGATGATAAATAGATTATAGATAGACCGATAGGTAAACAGATTGATGATAGCTAGATAAAAGATTGATAGATAAATAGATGATAGCTAGAAAGCTAGATGATAGATAGATAGATAGATAGATAGATAGATAGATAGATAGATAGATAGACAGATAGATAGGCAGATGATAGATAGATAGATAGATAGATAGATAGA